TGGTGAATCTGTCGGGTTTCGAAAATCGACCCGATGCAGGATTCTATTTTTATAGAACTATAAAATATTTTCGTGATTCTCGAAATTCACCAGTATCATTATGTGATTACACATGTGTAACAAAAAGCTTCTAGTAACTAGATTGAGCAGTTTAAACTATAGCATGCTTATTCTAATAATATTAGGTTAATTTTCTATATGTATTTTATTCTAATCTACTGTACTTACGCGAAGTGATGCCTAAAATTTCGTCAAATAACGAATGTCCTATTGGCGAAGAGACAGTGAGTCTATTTCTCAATGAAATATCTTACATGATTCATTGATGCATAACCACAGAGTGAATTAAAACCAACTAAAATATATGGATGAGCACTTGATACAACAAATTGAAGTCCAAATAAAATGCAATCAATAGTAAGAATCTAGTAAAATCAAATCGAGTTTTTTTTCTCATTTTGTTTTAATTACTTGTGGTTGTTCAAGTTCACGATTAGGTACGAGTAAAACATGATACGGACGAATAGGTGAATTATTAATTATTATTAAATATTTATCTTTATCTTGTTCATTATCTAAAGAGAAAAGAATCTATAAATTGATAACATTTAATAAATCAAAATCGATTTTTCAAATTCTTACTTCATCATTTTTGATTTTATTAAAATTAAATTTATTCTTATCAAATGGTGTATTCACATTTTCGAATGGATACGGAGTTCGACGTTTTTCATAACGACTGGGATTCAACTATATCAAAAGAATTCATTTATATAACTCATCTTAAAAAATAAATCATTTACTTGAATGACATAATTTAGATTACCCTTATCAAGTATTCGATATTTAGCATGATGATCAATTTGAAATGTAAAAAGACCTTGCGTTACAGCACGATCCCATTCACATCGTAATAAAGTATCAAACTAGGAAAAAAGTTTTAATCATTCTATTCCTCTAAAAAGAAAGACAATTACTTACTTCATTGAACTTTTCATCAGTACGATATGAAAAGTTAGCTGAAGTTGGATCGAATTTGAAATGCTTCCACATATTTAATGAAGATGTTTCAATTTATAGTTTTTTTAAACTCATTCCTCGCAAAATACTGAACAAAATTTCAATTGGTCAAATAGAAACAAATCATTTCTATTAATAAATATCATTTCATTGGTACAAACAAAAAAGCATCAAACACAATCTATAATAAAAAAATTCATTTAACAATATTTATTCCGAAGATGACTACAGATACAAAGATATCGAATGAAAATACACAAGCTCTTGCTGAAACATTAACGTAAATAAGAATCTAGTTTTTTCTCTATCTTATATTTTGTTTTTTAAGTGAATTTGAATTAAATACTGGTGTTATAAGTGCAGATAATCAAAATGAAGAAACATCAGCAACTGATGTAAGTTTTTACATTGAATAGAAGAAAAATAAATCCATCTTTTGTCTTAATTTTTTTATAGAAAATTAAACAACGTCTTGAACGTTTCGGAAAAGTAGCACCTGAAGCAAAAAAAAATCTCTCGTGCTTTACGTTTTGGTACAACACATGTATGTTAAATAAGAATATTATTCTTTAGTCTTCTTATTTAATTCAATAGGAAGCAATTAGTGGCACAGCTAAAAAACGACGTTTGGAAAGATTCGGAGTTCTTCCTCATTCACCAGTAAGAAAGAAAAGATTTGAATTGATATATACATTATTGTTTTATATAGGAGGAAGTACAACAAAAGAAACGTCAACGAGCTGAACGTTTTCATGTGAATAATTCTGGAACAACAGAAGATGAAGATGTTAAAAAGAAACGTCTTGATCGTTTTGGTTCGACGACATCATCATCAACAACAACAACTCCTCTTTTATCTGATGCAGTTCAAAAAAGAACTCAACGTTTTGGTGATGTATCTAAAGTAGCAAAATTAAATACAATGAATGTATGAATTAATCATTATCTATTATTCAATTAAAGGTTTTTGTTGAATTTTAGGAACAAAAAAATAAACGTGCTGAACGATTTAAATTAAATACAAATGTTTAATATTGACTCCTTGTGTCTTGAATTTTTTTGTTTTGTGTATTACACTTTTTTCTTTCTTTTATAAACACGAAGACACAGTTTTATGTGTAGAAATATACTTGAAATAGAAATGATTGTTTTTATTCAGATAATGACATCCGCTATTCGACCACGTCTTTTAATACTTCATCAAATGCCTTCACAGTTTATTCGTCCACTCGAACGTGTATTTGATCTTGATTATAAAGATACGTCAGTACCTGTAACCCGTGAACAAATTCTATCTCGTATACGTGCTAATCCACCTGATGCAATGCTTTTCCCAGGAGGAATAAAAATCGACAAAGAAGTTTTGTCAACAGCTGGTGACAAACTTAAAATGTTAGCAACATTTTCAGTTGGATATAATCATATTGATCTAAAAGAATGTCAAAAACGTGGTATATCAATTGGATATACACCCGGTAAACTAAAATAATCAATACATTGTAATTGATATATATATATTGAAATCTTTAGGTGTATTAACAAATGGAGTAGCTGATTTAGGTGTTGCATTATTATTAGCAACATCAAGAAGAATTAGTGAAGCTATGAAAAAAGCCCGAGTAAGTTAATAGAAATAAAAAATGTTATTTGATCTATAATTTAAATAGAATGGTGAATGGGGTAAATCATCAGATATAATGTGGATGTGTGGTAAACCTTTAGCGAATTCAACTATTGGTATTGTTGGCTTAGGTCAAATTGGTTTAGCTATTGCACGTCGTTTACAAGCATTTTCTATTCAACAAATTCTCTATAGTGGCACACGTGAAAAACAATTTGATTCTGAAGATGATAAAAAATTATTTAAATTTGTTCAATTCGAAAAATTATTAAATCAATCTGATTTTGTTATTATTGCCTGTGCATTGAATGAAAAAACAGAAAATATGTTTAATAAACAAGCTTTTGAACAAATGAAAAATGATGCTATTTTAATTAATATTGCACGAGGTGGAATTGTTGATCAAGAGGCATTATATGATGCATTAAAAAAGGGTCAAATTCAAGCAGCAGGTAAAGAAATATTTTAATGATAATAACGTAAAAATTCTGAATCTATATAGGGTTGGATGTTACTACTCCTGAACCATTACCACTTGATCATCCACTGCTCACACTTGAGAATTGTACGATATTTCCACATATTGGTAGTGCTGATGAATCTGCACGTCATCAAATGGCACAAGTATGTGTTGATAATTTACTCAATTTTTTTAGTGGCAAACCAATGGTTCATCAACTTAAAATAGACAATCTTTAGTAATCTTTATAAAATTTTGCTTCTATATATTTTTAATCAATGATTTATTATAATCTAGTAAAAGTGGAGCTAAATAATTTTTTTTTCTTTTTTGATTTTATAAAATAAAACATTAACGATTAGTTTTGATATATTAAATAAACATTATTTTTAATTCGTATTATATTCACATTTAATAGAATATATTGTTACATAGCTATATCTTTCTTTCTTTCTGAGTCATACATATCTTGCTTGTCTTTCGTACATCAGGTACTTATGTTCCTGTGTGACCTTTTCGTACCTCGATCCATTGTCCATCTTTCTTCACGAGCTTAATACAGAGAAGAAACTTCTCGACGCATTCTTCTCTTTGGTCATTCCATCTATATATACTCGTGTTTTTTCTGAATAAAATCACTAATTTTCTTCATCTCTTCACATTATTTAACTTACATATATTCTAAAATGCATGATATAAAATATTAATACAAGAATATTGAATTCAAGAAAATTAATAAATCAATAGATAATTACAAAAATCTTACAATTTCGTTTAATCATTCAAAATCCGACAGAAAAAAGCTACAGATTCCAACAACCGAAATTTGAAGTATTAATGAAATCGTTCCGTGTAACTAAGAAAACAGTATCATTATCGATTTCATTGGTTACAATGTTCTAGACTTATTCGAAAAGCTATTCTAATTTCAGTTCGTTTTACGAATTACCATACTCGCAGTGTTGGTCTTCCAATAAATGTGGTAAGTTACGTAAATGCGAGCACAAAATCGATTCCGAAGTTTAAATTCAATCAAACTTTCAAAATGATTTCTTTTATCATGATCTCTCATAGTCAAGTCAGTTTATTATCTATATACATGTATCTCAAGATAGTAACCTGTATATTGAGAATAGTATTTAAACGAATAATTTATATTCCACATATTATCTTTTTTCTCTAATTAATAAGAGGAAATAAAAAAATAAGAATTATAATTTATTTTCACATGCAACTGGTTTATTACAGATATAAAAATAAGTTTTTATTTAAGCCAAGTAGTATCATATACAGTTCCTCGACGACCACCTCGTCCTTCTGATCTTTGTTTGTCTTCAAAACGTTCCATTAAATCTTCCATATCAAATCCTGCACCATCATCTAGTTCAATATGCCGTAATTTACTTAAACGATGATCATTTTTATGTGTAATTCTCTAGATAAAAAATACAAAAAAAATATATAGCTTTTGTTTTTCTTTTACTTACATTTAATTCTTTATCCATCATATCGAGTGGATAATCGCCATCATAATAACCTGGTAGACTATTCTGATATCGTCGGCGTCCAGCTATACTTTCTATATTTATACCAAATAAATCATCAGCAACTCCAGGACGTTTTGGTAGTGTAAGAAATTCTGCACTAGTAATTCGTTTACCTTCAGCAATACCACGCATCATAACTGAATCATCACGTACATAACTTGGATTGAATTCATCACCATCAGTTGTTTTTAAAATATTAAGTAATATATCATGTGTTAATGGTGCATCTCGATAATGAATACGTGCAACTTCGAGTAAATCATCTGAACTTTCTCTTCGTAGTAAATAAAATGGTTGTGGTGGTGGTAGATAAGGACCTGAAGAAAAATCTACTTGAGGACGACGACGAGGAGTTGTAGTAGTCGCAGGTTCTTCGTTAATAGCATCTCTGAGACGATCTTCTTTTTCTTTTAATTGTCTTTTTAATTGTTCAAGACGTCGAAGGACTTCAGATTCTGATACTTCACGTGAAACAGGCGATTTTGTACGGACAACTTTGGTATCTATTCAAATATAAATAGTTTTAAATTGTTGTTGTTAGTAATTATATAAAGAAAAAGAAGATGTACAGTTTATTAATCTTTAAAAATTGACACCTCTATAAAATATGAAAATGCCAAATTTCAGATTTAGTTGTAAATATTGTAATACATTCTCTACTACTTCAAACTTTCCTTCGATTATATGCATAATTATTCGTTAGGTATATGGAAATAATTAATATTATTATTTTTATTAAATATTACTTCTTCGTCGCTCTTCTTCTTCTCGTCTTCGCCGTTCTTCTTCTTCTCTTCGTCGTCGTTCTTCTTCACTTTCTCTTCGTCGTCGTTCTTCTTCTTCTTCTCGTCTTCGCCGTTCTTCTTCTTCTCTACGTCGTTGTTCTTCTTCATCTTCTTCTCTTCGTCGTCGTTCTAATTCTTCTCTTCGACGTCGTTCTTCTTCCTCTTCTTCTTTTCGTCGTTGTCGTTCTTCTTCTAGTAATCGTTTTCGTCGCTCTTCTTCGTCTTCTTTTCGTTTTAATCGTTCCAAATCCTCTAGTCTTCGTAGTCGTTCGGCTTCTTCGCGACGTTTTTGTCGTTCAGCTTCTTCGATTTGTCGTAATCGTTCTGCTTCTGCTTTACGTTTTAAACGTTCAGCTTCATCTTCTTGTCGTTGTCGTGCTAATTCTTCTAATCTTCGTCGTCGTTCTTCTTCCTCCTCTTTTCGTTGTCGTTCTAATTCTTCTTCTCTTCGTTTTCGTTCCGCTTCTTCAGCTAATAATTGTTGTGCTCGACGTTCTGCTTCTTCTCTTTCTTGTTTTCGTAATGCTTCTTCAGCCGCTTGTCTTTCTAATTCTCGTTGATATGCTAATTGTTTAGCACGTTCACGTTCTTCAGCAGCTCGACGTCGAGCTAACTCTTCAGCATCTCGTAGACGTTTTTCTTCTATTTGCTTTAATAAATCTTGTCTGTATCTTTCTTGCTTCATAACTTGTTCTTCAGTTTTATAATTACCGAATATATGATTATAAAGTGAACCACGAGCAAATTGTGGCGTAGAAGGACGACCCTAAAAATATTTACTCATAAATCAAACAATTCAAAATTTAGAATTTATCAATTCGAACACCACTTCTGTCATCATGAGTATCATTCATAATTACCAATGATACCAATTGGAAAATATGATTACCTGAATTGGGTTTGTTCGAGGTGATTTAAATGGTTGTGGTTCTGGTGGCATTTTTGTTTGTGTAATCGTCTGTTCAGTACTTCTAGCAGTTTGTTGACCTAGTTGCAAAGTATCAGGAGGGCGTGGAGTAGCTTGTGCAATTGGTATAGGTATACTACTAGGTACACCAGTTACAATAACACTTCTTGAAGTTAAAGGAACAGGTGGACGATTAAGAATTTCAGCAAGTTCATAATCAATTGCTACTCTTTGATTTAATCGTTCTGCAAGTAATGCATTTAATGCATTTAAATCTTCAGTATATCGTGCACGAGTAGAATTTGTTGAATTAGTAATTGTTAGTTTACGACTTTCTATAAAACGTATAATATAAGTCATAGATTATTAGATAAAAATACAAAATATACCAGTTTCTAGTTGTCTTATTCGTCCTTCTAATTCATAGATTTGTTCATATAATTCTAAAATATATTCTTCACGATCACGAATATATTTTTCACTTTCTTGTTGTACTAGACGAGCTCGTGCTCGACTTGCTGCTAATTCTTCTGCTGAAGTTGATGACATATCATTCATACTATGAATATTATGTAGTGTTCTTCCCGATGAGGTGCCATTATTCATACTTTGACTATGACGTAAACCTCTATTAGACGATACATCATTCATACTATGAGAATTATGGAATGATCTGCTAGTATGTTGTTCGTTTGATCCTCGACCAGTTATT